TTGTTGTTGTTGTTGTTGTTGTTGTTGTTGTTATTATTTTTTATTAACTAAAATTACAAAATAGCAACAAGATAATCTACCTAATTGTCATCAGTGTTTAAACTGGATTAAGTTTTGTTAATAACTTTTCATTTCTAGCTAAAGAGTTAATTTTTTTCTTATTCTTTCGACAGTTCAGGGGTCACCACAGTCAGTCATCCTCCTCCATCTCACTTTGTCCTCACTCCAGATACCTTCATGTCTTCTCTCCTTTTTGTTGTTTTCCCTGGCTTTTTCAAGCCCTACACTATGTGTCTAACACATTTTGAACAGATGTGCAACAACTTATAAGACTGAGAWCAGGACAAACACTTCACAACACTTAACAACTTACAGAGAAATGCCTTACTTTGTTGATAAGGCTACTTCATCCAAATTCTACTCCTTCTGGGAAAGATTCACATTCACAAGAAGAGATGGTTCTAAACAGACTTAATGTGAATTTATGCAATCTGTACATTTTTATACCTGATACATTTGTCCTCGTTAGACCACTGGCAGAAAAACATATATATTTGTACTTTTGTTAAAAAAAATAAAGAGGTCATAAGAAATACAAAAAAGTGTTGATAAATATAAATCAGCTGTTTTTTACTGCTCTCTTGTGGATATTTTGCAGCAATGCAGCAACACAGATTCACCTTGATGTTTTGTATTCAGATGAGGACATCAGCTGATTTATTTGTTTTAATTAAAATGACATTCTTGTGTATTTGTAATCACATTTAATCCTGAATCTGTTGGTCAAGGTTGCATAATCTGCAGCAACATAAGAACACGAGCGTCTTAACATTGAATACKTACAAATATCTTGGAATTACTTTGGATTCTCATTTGACTRATCCTGATCATGTCCAAATCTTAACCACTAAGTTGAAACAGAAATTATACGTATATTCAAAAATTAGATCCTATCTGACATCTTCTGTTTCAAATATCTATCTTCATGCCATTATACTCTCAACCATGTCGTACTGTTTACCTGTTTGGTCTCTTACAACAAATGAAATCTTAGAACCCATAGTTAGGCTCTACAACAGGGCCTACAAAATTCATAAAAAACTTCCTGGTTGGACTCATCACTGTACAGTTCTTTCATTGTCTGATGCCTTGACTTTTCAGAATTATGTTTTGTATAGTGGTATTAATTTAGATTTTCAGATCTTCCAAGGTGCCAATTATGGAAC